TAAAATATTTAAATGTAACTATCGATTTTCTTGAAAAAGGACACGTAAACGAAGAATTGAGATAGGAAAAGATGGTTGTTATATTATTCTATGCTATATTTAAATATTTAATTTTAATTTGATTGATTGGGCAATACCTCGTTTATACGCATTAAGATTTGTTGAACTAATTTTTGTGTGTGAGAGAGATTAAAATTGCATTAAAAATTTTATTTAGGATGTAGTACAATGTTGAATGACTACTTTATCTGAAAATTTAAATTGTTAATTAAGCGGATTACTAAATATTTATACTTTAAATCAGTGTTCTAAAAATCGGCCGAGGCGGCCGATTAATCGGTCGCCGAGGCGGAGGCGGTCCAAAACCTTTACGATTTTAGTGTAAAGGTTTGAAAAATCGGTTTTTTGCCTGTGAGGCGGTTTGAGGCGGTCCGAGGCGGTTTGAGGCGGTCCGAGGCGGTCAAACCTTTAAGGCGGGTCAAACTTCGGTGGCAAAAATCGGTAAAAATTCGGTCAAAAATCGGTTTTTTTTTTTTTTTTTTTTTTTTTTTTTTTTAAATCAAAATAAAAGTTGGGATTTTAATAAAAAAAATGAGTTTATACTTTATTTTGTTTATGTTAATTATTATTGTTAAAGAACTAATGATGTATGCCAAGAATGTTTGTAAATTCAAAAAAAATTGCCTTTTTATTTATATTTTACAAGGATATTTATGTATTATGATCTTATTATTATTAAACTTTTATTATATTATTAGAGTATATACATGCTCAAGATATAACTATGTTTAAATATTTTTTATCTATGTTTTGAATATTTATAAATAATATCTACAAATATATTATATTAAATTTTAAAAACCGATTTATTTCCGATTTATCACCGATTAATCACCGCCGCACCGATTAATCGTGAGTCGGTGCCTGACCGACTCGGACCCGATTACCGATTTTTACAACCTTGCTTTAAATAATAAAATATATAGTTTTATTAATATTTTGCGACGTCTCTCATCATTTTTTAATTCAACAATGTTAAGGCAAAGATTGTGATATTTTATATTGATCATATCCTTAGGTGAGCTACCACATGTTCACGCATATGATTATTTTTAATATTATATATGTGTTTAAATCTTCCTAAATTTTATGGATAAATATTCTATAAATCGATTTAAATAAAAAAAAAATCATTTTCTTCAAGAAAAATCAAAGTAGTTAGGTGGACTAAATCATCACCACACCACTAACCATTTCTTTTCTTTTTTTCTATTTTCTCTACCTATGAAAACCCAAAATAAGACATTAATTTAATTTATTTAAAAACAAAATTAAAGAGTGGAGACATTAATTTGTTTAAATTGGATTTTAAAAAGTCAAAATTAAATAATGTTGACCAAGTCCACGATTTTTAAGAATGTCTATCACACAAACTTCATTTTCATCACATATATTAATATAATCTGCCCAAACTATTGTATTACGTGTTCTTTAATTTCTTACTATATTATATATAAATATATAAGTAGATCATCTTTATATATAACCACACTAACAATACTAATAACATCTTCACAACCATAATTTAGCAAACCCACTCCAATTCCCATTCTCCCTCCACCACCACCGCCGCCGCCGCCGCGCCGCCACTTTCCGATGGCACCTTCTTCCAAATACACGTACTACATAAAAGCATCAGCAGCTGTGGCCGACGCAACCATATTATTTTGCTGCGTCGGTTTGATAGCTCTAGTCCTAATTACGAGTTCGGCCTCCACAGACGAAGAGCTAGCGGTGGTGGTGAGAGGGCGGCAGATGGCGGAGCGGCCGTGTGACGAAATATATGTGGTCGGAGAAGGCGAAACACTTAACACAATAAGTGAGAAATGCGGCGATCCGTACATAGTTGAGAGGAACCCACATATACATGACCCGGACGATGTTTTTCCGGGCCTCGTCATCAAGATCGTGCCTCTTCTAACATCCAGAAAGTACGTTTCAGCCGCCGGCCAGTAGCGCGCTGCTTGGAAATATATATACACACACATATATATGCATACAACACATATATGTAAATGTGTTTTTTGTAATTTTCGTTTTTCATTTGTACGCAATGATTAAAGATTTCATTGATTTTAGCTAAAATGTCGTTACCCACTAATGAATAAAACATACTTAATAATGGTAGAATTGAAATTTGAAAATTATGTAAATAATGCAGTATTGTAGGTAATTCTAAAAAAATGTAATTTGTTGTTGTTGTTGTTGTTATTTCAACTATATCGAAGAGCCGTTGTGGTAGAACTGAAATTAATTATATTTGGAGTATTTAAAATTTATACCTAATTATTCCTCTATATTCAACTTAAATGACTATATATATAAAATTACAATATGGGATATATATTTGTGTATGAGGATTTTTGTCAACTAATCCTCTTTGAGATGTTAGTCAACTAATCCTCTTTGAAATTTCTTCCATCAATTATGAATTCTTCCGAATGATATTCTCGTTCCTTTTGTGTGATTGTTATAAGTTATTCCGGATCGTTATAAGTTACCCCCGATCGATACAGTCACATTCGATTAATTGATGATGGCAACTTAAATTTCGTGATGACAACATATTCAATCAATTTAGTTTTTACGTTTTATTTATAATCAAGTTGTTAGAATTATTTTGTGCAAATTAATTATAAATTTGTGTCCGATAAATTCCAGATTCAGTTTTAGCTACTGTTCTACTGTTTTACGAAGAGTTGCAACAGTTAATGGAACAGTAATAAAAAGACACAAATTTTAAAGTGGTTCGGATACAATTGTACCCTACATCCACGGGGACCTGCAAATGAAATTCACTAATTTTTAGTTTTACGAATACAGTAATAGGACTTAATCGAAAATGCAAAGACTCCCTCTTTGTCGACGCCGTTCTTGTATCCTACGCTGAATTGTGAATCTTCACTTTGCAGCACGTCCCTTTCCGCACGGTTGAAATTCCTTCAACGCTGAGTCCCTCAGTCGGCGGATCGACCTCCTCCCGAGATCTTCTGAGTTCTCCTCCCGAAGAACCGATCTTCTTTTCGCGTGAAAGAAGCAAATCTTTTGCTGTGTTTTTCTTCTCGAATAAGATCACAACTCAGGAGCAGCAACGTAAGAGCAGAAAAAGTTTTTCTCTCAAATAAAAGGGACAACGTATAATCACGTTGATGCTGCCCTTCTTATACTTCCTTACTTGAATTAGTAGAGCCCTACAAGATTAGAGCCCATTAGGTTAGATACAAATCTTTACGTAAGGAAAAGAAGAGTTATGTAAACAAGGAAAGTCTTAGTCAAAGAAATTCCTTGTTAATAAAACTCTTAGGCAATTAAATAAATTAATGACAAAATAAGAGTTTAAAGAACTAAGGAAACTTCCCTAGTTTTTATACACGTTTTTCGCACACGTGTTGAAAAACCGAAATAGAATCCTCTCGGATTCTAACACAACTCATGCGGTATTAGTGTTGTCTAAGAGCATCAATGGTAATAGCTAAATTGTGAGTTCGTTTATTTATTATAGCTGGTCAATAGTGTTTATACGATGTGTGTTTTACCATCTCAGTCTAACCATAGCATATATATTTTACAATTTTATATTATTATACTGTATTTTAATTATTTTATTGTATGTCCTGTAATTATTTTATTATATTAAAAAGGGAAAAGAACTTGAACACTAAAACTTAGTGCGATTACCTGCAATACATAGCAGTTGGGCATAAGAACTTAGTTTGCCAGCTAAAATATATATATCCCGTTGGAGTGAGTTTTTGACCTATAAAATTCTATAGCCCTCATTTTTTAGCTGATAGCAGGTGAAAATGTGATTAGACCTCATTTGAAGAATTTGAAATGACTCCGAAATGCACCCATTCCACCAATTTTGATCCAATTACAACAATTTTCATTTTGAATCTCGATTGGAAATGACTTAATCCAAACAATCTCAGTGAATCTGTATTACGGGTTTGAAATATCTCCTTCAAATTTCCATTCGAATGCACCAATTTTCGCCGATTCTGATCCCCAACATTTCACTCGATTTTACGAAAATATTAATTCAGAGAATATTATATTTCCCCAAAGTAAAGTAAAAAACATAGCCTCCAAAAGGGGCACTATTTGAGCAAAGCCCATAAAGCCATAAGTGTTAATATGTGCAGCAATTGGAGCCCAAGAAGACAATGGATTCTTTAAACATTTATATTAAATTAAAGTAACCATGACAAAAACAAAAATTATTTAATATATTTTACTATACTTGGATTTTTATTTATCCATATATAGAAAATAAATTTTAAACTATGATTTATGTGAAGTACAAATGTGTTATGTACTCTCTTGAAATTCCATCGTGTACTCCAAATTAAATACCAACCCTTGTTGAAATAGACTTTCAACAATCAGAGCAACATACATCTCTTCATTACCAAAAACAAAAGTCTTCCCATGACCATGAAGTACTACCAAAATCCACAAAATTAAATTATTAAAATAAATATCATATATTAATGAAAAATAATAATAAATTTGATAATTTATTAGCAACCCCATGTATTTTAACTATAAAAAATAATCAGTCTAGCAAAAAAGAATTAGGAGATAATTATTCTTCAAACAATAATTTATAAATTATATTAACTTATATAGTTGACTCCGGGTTCTTTCATTCTGCAGAAAAAAAAAAAAATAATCAGTCTAGCAAAAAAGATTTGGGAAATTAATTAATCTTCAAAAACTAATTTATAAATTATATTAACGAAGGGTACGGAATAAGATAGTTAGAGGAAAAATGCTTGGTCGTAAAGCACAACAATCTACTCCTATTTTCAACCTATCTTAGTTTATGTTTTTCATATCAATAAGTAACTTAAAAGTATTGCAAACAAAGACTCATGCATCAAACTATAATATTCTTTCTATCCAAAAAAATTAATAATAAAAAAAAAAACCAATAAAATAATTTTTTTATTGTTTGATTGAGAATTATAAATACCACATTGTTCTGTAGCAAATTCCATCATCTCTACAATTCTTTTGGATTATATACATTCAATACATACTTAAAAAATAATTATGGGTCAACTAAAAATGATGAGCATTTTGCTTCTTTTAGTAGGGATAATTTCCCAATCGGGAGCAATTCTCGACGCGAATTATTACGAAAAAACATGCCCACAAGCTGAAAACATCATCAACCAAGCTGTCCGAAAGGCCGCAGCCAACGATCCTAAAGTACCTGCTCGTATTTTAAGAATGTTTTTTCATGATTGCTTCATTAGGGTACGTTTCTTATATCGAATATTCATCAATATATACATTTATAACTTTCATTTTTATAATATTTATATTTTTTTGTTCGTTGAACGATTATTTATTAGGGTTGCGACGCGTCGGTTTTGTTGGACTCGACTGCGAACAACAAAGCGGAGAAAGATGGCCCGCCGAATTTGTCGCTCGCAGCATTTTATGTGATAGATGCTGCGAAAAAGAATCTAGAAGAATCTTGCCCAAGAACTGTGTCTTGTGCTGATGTATTAGCAATTGCTGCAAGAGATGTTGTTGTTCTGGTAATGTTTCACTTAATTCATTTCTTCAACGTACACTTGATGGTTAAACTTAACGAAACGTTGCAATTAACGGCATTTTTATCGAAATATTTCGTCGTTTTATAATATTTAATCTATATAACCCGTTTTATTTGTCGTTTAAGATTTAGTTATACAGATAAAGAAACTTGTCAAATAAATTTTGAATTTGATAAGGGAAAACCCCAAAATAACATCTCTAACAATATTAATTAACTGTTAATTGATATGATATGATCAACAGTAAAGTTGGCGCCACAGAAAAAAATTAATAATAATAATAATGCTTAAAAAATCGAAGACAATGAATTAAATATCATGAAAAACATTTTTCCCGCCTAAAAGTAACAAAATAAATGGTAGAATGATATTCTATAAAATTAGATTGGAATTGAGAATTTAAAAAATATCGGATTTTTTTACCAAATGAAATTTAGACATAATAGTGTCCTTTGATCAATTATGCATGTTACCAATTTTGCCCCTCTATCATGATCTATAAGTTATATTTTTTTATAAATTTACTTATTGATTATTTCACTCGTCACCTCGATGTTTACTTTAACCGCAGTCTATAAGATATTACATTTAGTGGTTTTGAACTATAAATCTATATAAATAATTATCAATTAAGCACACATATTACATTTGTGTGTGTTGTACTGTAATATTTCTAGATCACCTAGTTAGTACAGTGTTATCGGGTGTAGCATCGACAAAACGCTTTCAACTGCTAAATTGCATAGGAATATATATATTTTTTATTAATATTAATAATTTAGAGAATTCTAATATTTTGAATTATATAAAATAAAATAAAATGTTTTTGGTAAAATTGACTACTTATTACAGTCAGGAGGGCCAAAGTGGAATGTGGCGAAAGGAAGAAAAGACGGCAGAATCTCAACCGCAAACGACACCGTCAACCTGCCGGCGCCGTCGTTCAACACAACCCAACTCATCCAGAGCTTTTCCCAGCGGGGACTCTCCGCCAAGGACCTCGTCGCTCTCTCCGGCGGCCACACCCTCGGCTTCTCCCACTGCTCCTCCTTCGAATCCCGCCTCCGCAACTTCAGCTCCGCCCACGACTCCGACCCGACACTCGACCCGCAATTCGCCGCCGCATTGAAGAGCCGGTGCCCCAAGCCCAACTCCGACCGCAACGCCGGCCAGTTCCTCGACTCGACCTCGTCGGTCTTCGACAACGACTACTACAGAAGGATCGTCGCCGGAAAAGGAGTTTTCGGGTCGGATCAATCGCTGATGGCCGATTACCGGACCCGGTGGATCGTCGAGGCGTTCGCGAGGGATCGGGGTTTGTTTTTCTGGGAATTCGCTGCTTCCATGGTGAGGCTTGGGAATGTCGGAGTTGTTGAGGATGGAGAAGTCAGAACCAACTGCCGGGTCGTTAACTAACGGGTCGGGTCGGGTCGGCATTTGTTTTCGGAGGAGGATTAATAACGAATAACTAATTTCAAATGTTGAATGAGTCACTTAAACGTGTTTGCGCGCGCGTCTCCTTTTACTTTTTATTTTCTATTTTTCCTTTATTTCTTAATTAAAATAAAAGGAATGTAAAAAGTTCTTTTGAATTTTCATCTATTTTTAATCTTCAGCATAATCAACATTTTAAAGCTAATTGTTTATCAGTATTAGGTGAATTATAAAAATTAAGAAAATGCATCCTGCTCTATAAGAAGAATAGAATTGGAGAATGAGAGAAATAATAATACGTAATATAATAGAAACCCCCATTATGTTATGAGTTGATTACATGGAATATATATAGAAAATATTGCAAGGTAATAGAGTTTTACTAGGTAACTAAATCCTAACTAATCTAGGTAACCGAATCATACAAGAATCCTAATATTAGGAGAGTTCTATAATATAATACTCTCTAACAGCTCGATTATAATAATGAAATGGAAGGTAAGTAACCATAAAAATGTTTGAAAAACGACCAATTAATGAGTTATAGCAAATAAGAATTTTTGTTGATCGAATTTTTAATTGAGGGGAGTATTACGATATCATTTTTTTTCCTCTCATTTAACGTGTATAACTACGTAGTATCAGCTTATTTTTCGTTAAACAAATGTCTATTTTCTTTTTCTTTTTTAACAGAAGAACATAATATATATATATATATATATATATATATATATATATATATATATATATTACATAGTCAAAAGCAGAATACGGTTACAGGGTTTTGTAGTACAACGGAAAAACGCAAAGGATAAATCTTTATACAAAATATCTTGAATAAATTCAGGGCAAGTTTCAAAAAGCAACAGTTCATTCGGTTACATATAGTAGTTCCTCGTTTGGCCAAAAGATCCGCCACACTATTCAATTCCCTGTAAGAAAACACCATACGAGCTTGGTCGAACCTAGTCAACATCCTCCATGAATCCTCGAGAAGGGTTTGGAGGCCAGCTAGGAGGAGCTTCCATTAGTTAATTAGTTTTTATTTGCTTGGTTGAGTAAAATACGGATGTTTATCATTATATAAAAGTATGAAACGTTATTGTAGCCCTAGAAACCATAATGGCACATTTATAATTTTTTAAATTTTTTTCCATCTCCTATTTTCCCTTTTTTTTTCTAACGACTTTCATTGTAAATCAAATTTCCAAGCTACTTTTTAGTTTTAGTTTTCCTGATTTTCTTCTATAATTATCATTTGCAATTTATTTTTGTGGTTAATGTTTGTTTGAAACGTTAATCATTTCTTATGAATACCAAATAAATGGAGCTGTATCAACACTCGGGTAATTTGATTAATTTATATTTCTTGTTTAGTAGGGCCGGCTCTAGACCCAAACTATCTGTAATATTCATAGGGCTCACTAAATTATTTGTATTATAAATTAGGGTCCTCAAATTTGATTTTTTTTATATTCTCATAAAAGTAAACAAAAATATTTATATGAAAGCTAAATTGTAGAAAATATAACATATGATCTAATAATTTTATTATTTCCAATTCAAATAATAAGAAAATACCAAAAAAAATTTTAATTTTAAATTAAAAAATTAATATAAGGGCCCCCAAAAATATTATTTGTCTAGGGGCCCATGTAGGCATGAGCCGGCCGGCCCTGTCCTGTTGTTTAGTATATACTCTTTCGTTGGAATTTTTATGATCATATTTGTAGGAATACTAATGTTATTTTCGTAATTTAAATTTCACAACTATTTATTTTTATATTGCGTAATTTAATGTTTTTTAATACAATTATATTTAAACTTTTTTATTTTTTTCTTTTTACAATGCTACTCCATGCATTAATCCAGAACAAATGTTCTTAGGTCTACATAAACACTAAGTTCTATCCAAACATTAAATCAACCTAAAAAGTGAATGCCTATGTAATTAAAGAAGAAATTTGGTATATCCAACTAACACAATTGCCACTTTATCTCTTTCTTGTAATAAATCCAACGAAAAAACTATCTTAAAAAAACGTGCGTTGGTTGATGAAAAATTGTTAGGTGATTAGTTTTAAATTTTATTTAATACCATTATTAAGTTTGTAGGGATGGTAAATAATACTATTACTAGCTAGCTAGTATCGATTAAAAATCCAAAGCTTAAAAGTTGACAACTTTATCTGTGACAAAACCTTAATTTTTCATTAATTATGCAAATAAAAAAGAAGGCTATTTCTTCCTACATGGGGTTTTTTCGAAGATACTAGGTTCTTACTTTGAGCTCATTTTGACAATTTTACCCCCCACCCCCAACCATTCAAATCTCTTAACATTTCTTACCAATAAACAGTTGGCTTAATTTAATGAAAATCAATTTCGATATTTGTCTTTTATCTTTTCCTGTTTTTTTTGTGTGAATAAATCACTGTTCATAAGAAGATCGTAACTATATATATTTAAACCTCTATAAATTAATACAGTTGGAATCAATAAAATTCTAGTAATTTAGTAAAATATTAAATTATACCAAGATATAATCATTAATCCAAAATTGAATATTAATTAAATTATCATGGACAATGTATTTATATATATAATTCAATTAATCTTATCAATATTTCCAAACGACTCCCTAATGTACGGAGTAATTGTATTGGACGAGTTTTATGAGAGTATCAAAACAATGTAATAAATATCCATAGATAATTTAGTTTCAAGTTATAGGTAGGGATGGTAATGGGTAAGGGTTTGCTGGGTCTTAGAACCGGAACCGATCAGTTTGGGGTGGGTTTGGGTAAATTAAATGGTTTAGGGTCGGTTAATGTGTTTAAATTTCTAAAACCGGACGGTTCAGGGTCGGGGTATGGGTCTTATTGGAACCGACCCAGAACCAACCGTATAAATATATTATATTTAATAGTTAATCTATATATACAAATTAATTTAGGAGTTCATTCATCAAACTTCCAAATTGCATCGTGTCTATTTTCATTTGCCAATTTTTCACCGTTTGATTTTTTTGAATCTTGTTTCTCGTAAGTAATATATCTATCAAACTTGTCGACCACCGCTAGCCGTCTTGCCTTTTGAACTTTTTTATTGTAGAAGTTAAATATAATTAATTGTATAATTTTATTATTCACTTTATATCGGTTGTACAAGTTTTTTAAAATATTGTGATTTAATTTTATGATTTTTTGCACAAGCAAAATATTATTAAAGTTAACTTTTTTTAAATATTAATGGATCTAGCGGGTCAGAACCATTTAATTCGAGTATGGATTGGGGTGGGTCCAGTTCTAAGCTAATAGAAGTTGCGGCGAATCTGGGTTTTATATATTTTTTACGGGTCGGGTCTCGGGTTTAGGTAAATCCGCCCCATAGCCGATCTGTTGCCATCCCTAGTGATAGGTACTTATAAACTTGAACCAAATTAAATGCTAGTTTAGTAGATAGTAAACGTAGTTTCTTCTACTTCCACTAATTATATTGTATTTTGGTACTCGTATTAATAAATATTGTTGTATAATCCTACTAATTAATCTATTTAAAAGTAATAATAGCATTTGGGACCAATATGTAGCAATGTATCTATTTAGTGACAAGTCAAACAAATATGGGAAATAATATTCCCTCACAAATTGAATTCACCATTTTACACAAACTGAAACAAGTTTTTTTTTTTTTTTTTTTTTTTTCTAATTCCAATTTTTGAAATTTCGGTTTTTTAGAATGAAAAATAGGCAGTGAAATTAAAATTAGTTTTTCACTTCTAGAAGAAATTGTTTTTTAGAAGATACTAATTATTAGTTTCGAAATCCAACTAATTTTTTTTACGAATATGTTAAAAAAAATTCAAATATTTATGGATTTCCACCAATTATCGAACCAAAGTACGATTTACAACTACATCCAAATCAAAACTTCGTGCAGATTTTTGTTTTAAAATTATATCTAAATGTAAGAGATGATTACTATTAATAATGAGAGATAAATATGCAAATTGCAATACGAGTTAATGTTGGGGCAAATATTAAGGGTAAACATTGAAAAAAAAGTTAATTAGAATTCCATTAAGAGTGGAGAAAGATAAATAATTGAAGACAAAAAAATCAAATTAAAATATCAAATAATTTGGTAGGGAGTAGTAAATTCATTCATGTCAATCCTTCGTGTATAATATTTGATCATTTGAGTAGGATTGGTACCTCACATCTTAGGTTCGGTACTAAATTAATAAAATCACAAATCCAATCTAGAGCTGTGAACAAGCCGAACCTATTTTGACGAGCACGAGCTCTTCGAGCATTTGATTTTGGGCTCGAGCTCAAGCGAGCCGAGCTCGAGCCTGAGCCAGAGCCATTTTGTATCTTTTTTCTTTTTTTTTATTTCTATTTATATTAATTATATTTAAAATTAAAAATAAAATTGTGAGCCAGCTCGCGAGCTCAAGAACAACTAAGAATGAACTCGGGCGCGACTCGTTCGATACCTCTAACTTAGTTTATTTTAATTACATTTAAGAATTTATATTTATTTTATATTAATTATATTTATTATTAGAAAAAAAAAATAAAAAAAAAAACTCGTGAACCGGCTCGCAAGCTCAAGAACAACTAATAATGAGCTCAAGCTCGACTCGTCCAAAAACTCGAGCTCAAAAAATTCAAGTTCGAATTCGAGCTTTTGTCGAGTCGGCTCAGCTCATTTTATACTCATAATCCAATCTAGAAGTACAAACTACAAAATACAAACAACTATATATTTATTGTAAATTCTTCAACTATATATTTATTTCTCTTTAGTAGCTTTTATTAAAATTCAAAAATTAGAAAAAATAATGTAATTAATATACGCAAACCCCAATCGAGGCAACACATACAAAATTTTTTTTTTTTTTTTTTTAAGAGAACGACACCCGATGAGGGTGGGGGGTTAGGCTTGACCCCCTACCTGTTTATAAAACAAAATTTAAGAAGTACATAATGAGTTTCGCTCAAATTGCTACTGCCCAACATATGGCTAATAATAGCAATTGACAAACAAAAGACAATAGGTAACTAACAAAAGGTTAAGAAAACGGGCAAAACAGGTGGCCCAAATAATAAAAAGGACGGGGTGGGAATGATCATAGAAGGTCGGGGAAGAC